ACACTTTTTAACGTTTATATTTGTACTTAGTTACTTTGAGGCGATGTTCCGCTCCTTCATGCCTGTGGACGGTCAGGTTAATATCTCCATCGGTGAGATGGTTCCCAGTAAGCAGGCCTTTGAGTCCATGCTGCGTTATATCTACTATGGCGACGTCAACATGCCTCCAGAAGACTCCCTGTATCCTTCTCACAGTCAGACTGCTTTATATTCATTCACCAGATGAAGCGTTTCCCAGGCAGAGCCCGCCATAATGACATGTTTGAAATCATCTTTATGAACATTTTTTACAAATTGAATGAAAAGAAATGATGAAAGAATCCCCATCCTTTTGAAAAGGGAGCTGTGGTGGAGTCACGGTGGGATAAGAAAGTTGTGACCACAATGGCTGAGTGTGATGAGCTCAATCAAGGCAAACTCGCCCAAAACATACTTCTCTAATAGCTTTGATGTCTTCTGTGGAGACAATTTATGGTTGGGTATAAACCTTGAGATACAACGACTTAACCACTTAAAAGATGGGTGAGTATTACTTGCTGTCATCCTACGTTTGTACTTTTTAAAAACATTTTATATTGTGATATTTTCTGGAAATTACGTCGATGCTGAAAACAGCACGTCTCGATGCTCAGTGCTGCGCCGCTCGCGGCCAGTTAGGACACGGTACCATGGACATAATGCACGAAAATACACATGGGAATAGTTCGGACTTATTTGTTTTTTAAGAACCAATATTCAAAAGCCAATTTTGAGATTTGTCCAAGGGAGCGTGAGAGAATGTCCTGTAACTTAGTGCAGTTTTGGAGAAAATGTAATATATTTGGTCAGCCAAGAATTATGCAATGTTTGCATCTCTAAAAATAATGATTTCATTGGGATCCACAGAAATGCTACCGTCAGCATCTAGTGGCCATTATTGGAACTGCACTTGTGTATTGGACTTTTTTGTGGTCACTACTTGCATAAGATTCAATACAAGGAACAAAAGATAACTTTTTTTTATTTTCAAAGCATCATAATTGTCTTTCGCTGTGTTCATGTACAGTGTTATAGTTGGCTACGCCTATTGCGCATAATGAGAAGGTAGGTCACTGTTTAATTCACATGAAGGTTTTGTGCTGTAGTGCAGAGAGAAACATTTGTCCTTAACCCGTGATAAACAGCTATCTGTTTGCTGCACCTTATTACTACGGGTTTTCGAACAACAGGATGCAGGCTTACTGCAAGCAGAATCTGGAGATGAACGTCAATGTGGAGAATGTCTTGCAGGTATTTGTGTTTTCACCCACGGGGGGGGGGGCAGGGACAGTGACCCAATTTTACAATGTTGTCCCATACTTGAAGACATTTTCTTACGCAGAGTGAATCATTTACTCACGCACTTTTTCCCTCAATACTTCAGATTCTGGAGGCAGCTGATAAGACCCAGGCTCTGGACATGAAGAAGCACTGCCTGCACATTATTGTCCACCAGTTCATTAAGGTGGGTGGGCTAGTATCCGGAGCCCTGGGGGTTTGCTGCCCACTCACTGCAGCTGAGCTAACCCTGTAGGCTCGTCTCCTTTGCGGGACGCTGACACCTTTGGCCTTCTAGTGGATCACCCTCCATCTGCTACGTAGAGAGGAGACTGTTTACAGGCCGGCCGGCTGTACAAGCACCTCATCACATTGCGACGAGGGTCATAGTGCCACTCTGATTATTGTTTGTTATTCAAAGAAACAGCGAAGCACTCAATTCTCACCCTGCTTCACTGCAGTGTTAGCTCTATTGTTACTGTTTCTGCTTCTTTCTGTTTATCTTCATATTTAAGTGCTGCTTATTCCTCATTTGACCCTGTTTCAAATGAGGAAACAGGGTCATTGACTCATTGTCTTGTCTTAGTTTATGGCTTGTTTTTTTTCCCTCATTTTTTGCTCTCCTCCCCTCCCAAAGGTATCCAAGCTCCCCAACCTGCGGTCTCTCAGCCAGCTGCTGCTGTTGGACATCATTGAGTCTCTAGCTACACACATATCAGACAAACAGTGTGCCGAGATGGGCTCCGACATTTAGGATGACGCCGAGAGCCGGGCTCTTTTCTCCTCTCACAGAAGCCATACATCTCTGCTCAACCTACTTCTAGTTATTCCCTCGTCACCAACGCGTCGTACTTTTCTTTATGTTGGCCGTCGCATCTCCAGACCCACGTACCGTAGATGGCTTTTATCCATGTTGTATCAAATTGTTCTTACTCTGCATCTCAATGAGTGAAATCAGTGAAGATTCTAGCTCAGTTATAATTTGTCCAAAAACAATCCCTTTTTATGTTTGAGATTTATTTATTTTGAGAACAGAGGAAACATTTGCAAGGTTTTATTCTGCTCAGTATTGCTGCTGCATTTTAAAATGGATATGCAGCGGACTTTAATAATTGACACGTGTGACACTATAGAGGTTCAAGTGTTGCCCTCAGTTGTCATCTAAATGCAACCTTATCAAAGTATACTATTAAATGGATTATTTATCTATAAATCTGTATTGATCACTTGTATTATTGTTGGCTCTGACTCTGTTATCAAGCCTGGACTAAATGTTGTCAGGAATCATAATCATCATATGAGAATAATTAGAATGTACGTCTGTCTTAAAGCTATTTGTTTCATTTAATGTTATTTCCATTAGCACACATATTTGTAATATAATCACCTCTTACCAATACTAACGGACAAGCCCCGTCTATATCTACAAGGTATAGCAATGTATATTTAGTGACATCAGTATGCTGTTATTAAATATTTACCCACATGGGTTCCATGTATTTAAAGCCTTAATAAATCTTATAGAAAATGAGTCCTGTTGTACTGAGTCTCTGCGGCCCCCTGCACTCTGAACTCTTGTGAAATACAGATGTTGAACTAACTACGTAACCACGTAAAAGTCATTTTTCTTAGAGCTTCCAATGTGCCTCTTTAGCTTATGAATAAACTACCTTATAATGTAATTTACGTTTTTGCACAACCATCTTTTGGCAGATGTCAATATATGGTAAAATGTGCCAGAAGTGAGCTTCCTATAGAAGCCCAGTATTTATAATAAATGATGTTTCGACCCCTCATCAGGCTCTGTTGTTGGTATCAGACTGAGTCGTCATAAACATACTGGACCGTCTCACCTAATTTACTTTTACGCTGTTTATTAAAGAGGACATATGCTCATTTTCATACTTATATTTGGGGTTTCTACTTGAACATATTTACATGTTTTAATGTTCAAAGGAAACTATTTTTCTCATCCTGTCAGTAGGAATATACCTGTATTCAACTTCTCTCTTAAACGCTCCGTTTTAGCGCCTGTCACTGAACCCCAGTTTCCTCCTAAATGCAGAGTTAAAGTGAATGTATGTATCTGTAGCTATGTTACAGTTAATTTAAGCAGCTGACACAGGAAGGGGAGCCACATCTGAATATCTTGGTGAATCATGTTTTCTGAAACAGCCCACAAAAAACTGACTTGGTTGTCTTATGTCACATCTTGAGAATTGGAAGGCACTTCATATCCCTAAATGTATATGCACAAGCACTTAAAAGTCAGTTTTTCATACATATTCCTATATTCCAATGAATCCTATACTCACCCAAGCAAAGAGCGGATTTACTTTCTGCTTTGGCTGAGCTTAAGTAGTGCTCGCCCCACTGGCTTGATGGGCAGTTTCATCTAAATGCCATGGCTGACTCCCGTGGTCAGCAGTGCTCTCTGTCATTTATGGAAGCTTAGATTCAAACTGAATGTCAAAGAAAGAAACTTCAGAACTGATGCAGTTTCTTCCAAAAGACTCACAGTGGAGTATTCACAACTATTTTTACCTTGAATATTTGCACAAATCTGAAATCCAAACAAAGACTTACGCCCAAAGCCATTGCAACCTATACACTATTTGAAAAGTTGAAGGTTAGTCCTTGACCTTTCATCAAATTAGCCACATCCTTCAAAGGTTTCAGTTTCCACAGATCTATGGATGATTAGGTCAGACAATGCTCCTTGGTTTGAGATGCCGAATTCCTTCGGCTTCTGCAGGGTTGTGCCCTGGCAAAGATTTTGATCAACTCAAGTGAGCTAAATTAAAATTGAATAGGTTAATTTGTTTGAACAAATAGCAACTTCTTTTAAATAATACTATACAGTCATACCAACCCTAAACATTACAACTGCATTTAGTTTGACTTGAAAATAAATTTAAAAAACAGATTACTAGAAAGGCTTTTTGACCTTTTTATTTTTTCAGTTAGATAGTACATTTTGCTCATGGGATTGAGAGAGAGGTTGACCTAAATGCCGAGGCAGTAGGTAGAGTTTTCTGTTCGCTGCCATTTGTTCTGTAAAGACCCTCAGTGGAATTCACAGTGTGTTGGACTCTTTTGGACTCTGTTGTAAGTACCGTTGCAGTGAGCACAAAGTGCTATTCATAGTCCAGATACTTGAGACACATGGCAAGTCGAAAGCTCCTTCTTTTGATTTCCTTAGAGTGTAAATGTCTTAACTAAAATAATGACCAAGTCTCATCAGTGACCTCAGTAAAACAACTCATCTGAAATAATTACAACCTTAAAAGAATATAATTACAAAGAAACAGACCAGTAATGCTTGGAGTAGCTTTTAAGTCTTCTGTTTTTGTGTGTGTACCTCTCGTGCCCAGCTTGCTCGTGTTTCATTCATTTAAGTTCACCTGCGTGCACACAGCCCAGACTCCTGCTGGACATATTTGGTTTCATCTAAAAACAGAGTTCATTGTTCACTGTGATGATATTGAACACTGAAACAAAACAGTATGTCTGTTGTCCTGCCACGGTCCTGGATTATCTCTCACCTATCAGCTGCATTTTATTGAGGGAGCTGAATAAGTGGGCTGGCCCGGTTGGTCCTGCTACCTGAGCAGGTAGGACGGGCCACAGAGCCACTCTGGATCTCCCAACCTGTTACATAGACCTGCACACTTGAACAGGAATCACAGCACAGAGGGCAGAAGATGGTCTTTCTAACACATATAGTGATGCAAAGGACTGCACTCTTTGTGACGTTTGGAGGTCTGGTCACTTCTCTGATCACCACCTTCCTTCCACTGTGGAAGACGATGAACTCTGACCTGAACGAAGTGGAGAACTGGTTCTCTGGACTCTGGCACACCTGCCTCTACACAGAGGAGGTAGGAGTTCAGTGTAAGGCGTATGAGTCCATCATGGGGCTGCCGATGGACCTGCAGATCTCCAGGGTGCTCATGTTAGTGTCTGTAGGCACTGGAGGTTCAGCTCTGCTGGCTGCCGTCCCAGGTCTGGAGGGGGTTGGGATGTGTGTGGGGCAGCCTGGCCTGAAGAGACGGCTCCTCATCCTCGGCGGGGTGCTGTCCTGGGTGTCGGGGCTCACCACTCTGGCTCCCGTCTCTCTTGTGGCCTACACAACTGTGGTGGACTTCTGGGACGAGGGTTTCCCTGATGTGATGCCTCGCTGGGAGTATGGAGAGGCGATGTTCTCTGGATGGTTTGGAGGTTTGGCTCTGGTCATCGGAGGGACTCTGTTCTTTGTCGCTGTGTGCATGGGGGACTACGACCAGAGGCCAGCAAGTGTGCCAAACAGCCCGCATGCGAAGCACAGGACAAAGCACTACCTGAAGACAGAGGTTTTATAGATTTCTTATTGCCAAATGTGTCATCTGCATTCATATACTTAACATGGAGGCTTGTGGAGTGAAATGAGATTACTTCAGTAGCCCAAGAATAACACTTCTGACTGATATAACATGACAGCTACATGTGTTCTATATGTTCATTTCTAAGTCAAATTGTACAAATTTCTGTCGTCTCTGCTTCTGGTTAATTATGAGATTGTCCTCATTAAATAAACTATTAAAGTAATGTGACATAATAACAATTGGAGTAGTTCTTATTCCTTTAAAGTGTACAGAGTCTGGAGAAAGAGTATAGGCTTTATTTACTCGTAGGTACATATTGCACATAAAACTTCTCTTGACATTCAATGAATAACAATATTTAAAAAATAACCTCTTTGATTTTTAGTTAAAACTAAGGAAGAATTGGCTTTTAGCATGTATGTAAGTATATGATATATCAGTGAGTATACTTGTGATTTAGAGTTGCGTTTGTCAGGATTTCTTTCTGTTGATTTTGATTTTAGAAGTAAGTTTGAAAAGTAAAATCTGTTTTAAGTATTTAAGTCCTAAGAAAAAGATACATTAAGATGTAAAGCAGTGCACTAAGTAAATGGCTTCTCTCCAGCCCCACGCATGAGTCAGTATTTTACTAATAAAAACCATGATCAACTGAACATGCATAAAAATATCCAGCATTTATGGTGCACAGGGTCTCTGAGCCCACTATCGGGCTAGGAGTGAATAGTCTAACAGGAGTTGCATTCCAGTGCTGCAGCTCCTCTGTGTTAAATTTCGTTTTGGAGAAAGAGGACTTGGCACCTCCTCTTAGTCCTGAATACGCTATTCGGCTTTGGTACAGTGCTTTACATTGTGATGATGAGAAGTGATCTGGACATGTTTTTTAACATGCATTTGCTTATCAGACTCTCTGTTTAGATCTAATTAACAGTCAGGTTGAATCTACCCTTCATACCAGCTGGCATTAATGTTTCGGCAGGCCGTCATTTTATATTTTAGCCAATAATGATTCATTTCACCCCTCTCGCCTCTCTTACTCTGGGTTTTCGAATGCTGCAGTTCTCTCCGGCCCCTGCATGAGAGAGTCCCCCTGTAGTTCAATTAAACTGAGTGATATATCAGTGCCTGCCTGTGAGACCCTGATCAGTCATCTTGTTGTACATGTGCACACCGCCCTCCCTGGCTTCACTCCATTGTTTTCAATATGTGCTTGAACACATGCAGAGAGCAACACAAACATACTGACAATGCAGCACATGTGCACGTGTCAGCTGTCAGCACACTGTAGAAATACAATCACTCCATGTGACCAGTGGAAATCTCATCTGATCAATCTGAATTGTTCTTTTCTTTTTTTCTTAATTTGGGAAGCAACATAAGGGCTGTTAATGCTGCATCTGAACCATCGTCCCGTGTCAATACTGCCATCATTTCCATAGAAATGAATCTGAGGTTATCGAGTGAATGACCTTGTCCCCGCAGTTATTTAAAGGGGATGCACAGTTCCTCCCACAGTGAGAGCATAAGGAATGGAAATATCTTGGGAGCTCATTTCTATAAGACTCGCTATACCTTTTTAATCCTGCACCACCATACCCCCTGACTGAAACTGGGATTTACTGCACCAACTGCACTTTAACTCTTTGAGCCTCCCACTGGTGCACACACTGAAAGAAGTGCAGCACACACACACACACACACACACATACTGTAAGAGCTGTTACAGTGTTTTATAGTTCGCAGTAGTCTGAGGAGTAGTGTTTTTGTCTCCTGGTGGGCAGTACAAATACAATAAACGTCACTCTGGTAAGTTTTGATCAATAGCTCATACTCCTGCAGCATTCAGCACAATGCATGCACAGCAAGCAGGCTGTGTGATAAGTGGGCAGAAGGACCAGGGAGTGCAGTGTGTGTGTGTGTGTGTGTGTGTG